GCCCGGTCCCAGGATGCCCCAGGAGGGCCGGGATGGGCAGAGGCATTGCTTTACAGAAGCTGTAAATCTGTCTGGAGGCACAGCGGCCCCTTGGACCTTCCCGCAGCAGTTGGTGTGCTGCTGGGGTCGGCTGAGCCGCGGTAACGGGCCGCCTGCACGCTCTCTGCCTCTTGCACGTGCGTGTGAGAAGGGGTGCTTGCCCCTGCCTCGGTTGGGAGCCTGGGCGGTGTGCGGGAGCAGCCGGTTACCGTGGCTCAGCTGGCCGGTGGGGACGTGTTGGAGCTGCTCGGAGCCGCTCACCTGCAGCTCAGCCCACTGTTTCAGAGCTGGCTTGTAAGCAAGCAGCCTCCCCTGTCCTGCCTGTGAACTTTGCATGCCCTGCAAGACAGAGCTGAGCGAGCCCCCGCACGTAAGCGTGCCCTTTGCTGCCCTGGAGCTCTGCGGGGGACAGCACAGGGCTCCCCTGGTCCCCTGTCGTAGCCAGAGCATCGCTGCCCCGTTGCAGCGGCTCAGCAGTGCTCGGCTTGTTCTGCACACGCTGGTTCTCAGTGTGTGCAGGGACACGCGATTCTCTGCATGCCAACGGAGATGGAAAACATGGCCCTGCTTGAACATCAGCGGCAAGGCTGGATCCTGGCCCTTGCTGGGGGGTTCCAGACCAAGGAAAAGCCTTCTCTGGTGCAGTGCCCCTCTCCGTGGTCGTTGTGAACTGCGTATGTGGGCTTGTGAGCACGTGAGCGTGAATTCTCTCTGCAGGGCTGTGCCAGGCTGTGAGTAGGTAGCGTATCTTTCCCAGATAATTGGCTTTTTTTATTGCACAGTCATTTTCCGTGTTCTCCTCTTATTAAAGAAATACCCTTGGTGACTTTTTGAATAGTTTTCAGTCTCCACTGTTTATGCACTGTGGGAGAGAAGAGAGAATTTCTGATAATTTTGTTTTCTCTCTATTTAGCTGACACTGATGCTTGAATTTTATTTTGTTTAACCCCAGTGATTCCGAAGCAGCGCAGCTGCCTTCTGTTCCCGACTGCATCTGTGTACCACCAAGGCTTTCTAATCAGAAGAAAACCTGCTTAGAAGGGTCTCAGGGTAGTGGGCTTGGGTGGACAAGACCAAAATGCAGGGGTTTTTTGCAGTCTGTGAATTAATATTCTCCCTGATTTGCAGCAAGGGAATAGATAACTTGGATAGCTTGTGCCCTTCCAGGCAGCAAACAACTTTACCAGAAGCTAACCCAGGGTGCTAAGTCTTCCCTCTGTTTTCTGCCTACACTTCTCTCTATTCCCCTCTGCCGCTTCCCTTCCCTCTTTTTCAAAGCTCCACTTTCCTCCGTACAGATTAATGGTGTCCCTCTGCCTTCCACTGAGCTTCTGTGGGATGAGTTCTCCAGGGCTGGACCTGGGCAGCCCCGCCTGCTGTGCCCCTTGTTGGGGTGGTGGAGGAGAGGGAGGTCTCAGGAACGACCCCCAGGAGATGGTTTGCAGAGCTGAGCTGGTCCCCCTTGGGGGTTTTGCCCTGGTTTGAGGGAGCTGGGCAAAGCAAGCCAGGGGCCAGCGGTGGAGCTGATACGCAGAAGATGGAACTTCCATCTCTATGGGAGCAGTGGGGTTTGCCCAGCACGTTGCGGTGCTGCGGTGATGGTGTGAAATAAGAATAAATTCCAAAGCTTGCAGGTTGTGAAGGCTTCAGGTAGAGAGGAGGCATGAGCCTGACCTTGGGCAGGGAGGGAGGTGGGCTTTCAGCTTGGTTGGGGAGGATTTAATTTTTGTTTGCGCTCCCTGGCTCTTTCAAAAGACATTTCCTTGCTGTTAAGTTCCTTTGAGAAGGGAGCAGCTGAATTAGCTTCACAGCAGTCGCTGACAAAGATGGTTAAATCAAAGTAAGAAAATCTGAGGAAAGCTACAGCAGAAGTTTATTGGTGGAGCTGAAGGTAGCAACGTGGTCTGGACTCTCTAATGCTTGAGGTGGTGGGGCAGGGAGGGCTTCTGTGAAGTTGCTCCTACCTCTGAGCCCGTACCAGACTGACCACTGCTTTGGCAGTCACCTAGGCTCTCTTTACCTTGTTTGGCTTGGTTCTGCTTGGGTTAGTTGGTTTTGCACACTGATTTAGGGGTCAGTGCTTGCAGTTGCTGTTCTCAAGATGTTGATGATGTGACAGGTTATCAGTTTTGGCAGAAGGTGGCCTGCTCGGTGGTCTCCCTTGTCCTGTGCATTCAAACTGAACACCGAATTTATCCAGGATCTTATCGTGGTTGTTAGTGCAGCAAACACAGCTCTGAATTTCTGTTCCCAGCTCCACAAACTTTCCATTTTTGCAGGCCTGCTGGTGCTCCAGCATCATGGTGGGGTACCTGGCCCACACTCATCTCCTCATGAGTGTCTGTCACCCAGCTTGCACATGCGTGCCGGTGTGTGTGTGTGTGTGCAAGAGCTGGCTTGTTTATTTTTAGCCGGGATGTGCTGAGCCTGTGCCAGGGGGATGCCACGTTGCTGCCCCGTGTGGTGCAGCACCATCTTTCTGAGCCAGATGGAAAGCGGACTCAGAAGGGCATCCATCCCTCGCGAGAGAGCAACCCTGGAACATCTCGCAGGTCAAACCTCCAAGGTTCCAGGCAGGAGATTCTTCTTTAAGTAACTTCTCTGGTCTGGTTTTGTGAGTGCTGTTTGTGCTGAGACCAAAGATCCCTAGGAGCCTCTCGCTGGCTGTGCTGGTTGGTGATTTCCCTCCTAGCCTGCCCGGGTACCAGACCAAGGTGGACAGTTTAACGTGGCTCATCTCACCAGGAAGAGGGGTGTCGTCTCTATTCACCCACCAGATCTGCAGCCTGTTTGCAAAGAAGTGTCAGAACACTTACATATCTTTACTTGCCTCATCAGCTTGCAAGGGGATATCTGAATCATTCTCCCTCCAGCAGCTCTGCACGTTCTCGTCTCCCTTGGTCAGCAGCTGAGTGGTGGGGAGGCTCTCCAGGGTGTAGCATAAGGATGCTGTGGAGGAACACCCCTTTTGTGGGATCTGTGGCTCTCCTCCCTTCAGTGCCCCAGCTTCAGTCCCCAATGACACCGTGAGAGCAGGCAGGTGATGTGGGTGGGTTCCTCGGGTGTTGGGAGCAGGTGAAGGTAGGTCGTGAGTAGCAATGCTGCTTCCCCGGGGCAGGAGACGGACGGGCACTGCTATGAGGAGGTGTTACCGACCTCCCTGCTGCACCCAGCGTTGCTGAACAAAGTCTTACAGTGGTCCGGGGCAGTTCCTTCCGAGAGGAGGAGTTGAGCAGATCTCCTGGTCCCAGATGAACTCTGCTTAACAGAGCAAGGACTTCTATTGCTTCCATAAAACACACGAGAGCTTGTGCAAGATGCTTGGTCCCTGCTGACAGCTTTTGTCAGGAGCTTCCTCCTCTATAAAGGGAGGAGACAACCTGGTTCCTGGGTGACTGGGAGGGTGCCATGAGCCAGGAGGGTGCTGGTGTGACCTGCTGTGGATAGGGGGGACCTGTGGAGAGAGACAACGTGCTGGCTCTGGCCTGAAAGAGTCAGTGGGGAGAGCATCAGGGACGCTTTTGGAGGGCACTGGGTAGTGGGCAGCTCTCGGCTTTGCACTAAAAGGCAAAGCCATGTGTGTGATTTCACCAGGTCCTCTAAAGCTTGGGAGACCTTCAGCTGCTCCGTTTGTTGGCTCTGCTTCAAAAGCCCACACATTGCATTGCTCTCCTTCAGTTTATGCCTTTTGGCATCTTTTTGGGCGATTATAGCCCTAAGTCATCCACGAAGAGCGCACCCGAGGTGCATGTGTTGGTTGTCTGACGCATGCCAGCGTCTGCACGTCGCTGCCTGGCGGGCGCCAGGGCGAGTGTGACAGCAGCACCGGGGTGGGGAGGTCTGCTGCAGCCCACCACCACCTCCTGCCCCCTTGTTCGCCGTGTCTGACACTTGTCACCCATCCGACCGAACAACTGTGACTTGGCTGCAAGGGAGGGCAAGAGCTGGAAGAGTTCAAGGCTGGATTTCCAGAGGAACTGGAGGAAGCAGTGAGTCCACTGCTAGCCACCATCCAGGGTTGTTTCCAGACCTCTCCCTTCCAGTGTAACGGGGGTAGCAGAACTGTACTCTGGTTGTCCAAACTGGGCTCTGGATCTCCCTGCTTGTAACGTGTTGAGCCTGGCTTTTGGTGGTGCTGACAGCCTGTAGGTTTCCCAGGAGCTGTGCGTGGCCAGGCTTTCTGGCAAAGTTTGGGGTGTTTTTTTGTGCAGAGCATCCAAAAGAATTAGCTGCCTTTGGAAACCGCTGGGTCGTCTTCAACGTGTCAGCGTAGGGAAGGATCCAGAGCTCCAGCCCGGGATCCAGGTGGCAGCTGTGTGGGGGAACTCGTGCAGATCTGGCTTCCTTCTTGCATGTTTAGCTGGGTCTGGTTGCACTGGTCATGGCATCCACTTGGACCTGCTGCTTCACATGGGCTTGAAAAGTTTGTGACACCTTTTTAAAGCCCATTCCTTTCTATAGGTCTAAAACTGAAATAGAACAAACACACACACTGCTTCCGCAGTAGTGTTTTTTTGCCTTGAAGTGAACCCACTGTTTGTCTAACCCACCTCTTTTTTGAGTTGTAGTTCCACTTTTTTGTCCTCGTTTATACACACAGATGCGCGTGCGCACACAATAATGACAACTAATGCATTTTGGCTTCCATTCATTTGAAGTGATCTGGGTTTTTTTGAGTTTTTTTGTGTCTTTTCTTGCAGCTTCTGAAGTCGCCCCATAGTCGGTTGATTCCCCATCACACACCTAGTGCCTGAGTCTGATCCATGTTGGCCTTCCTAGTCCACCATAGACCTCTCATTTTGACTTAGCTGTCTGTTCAGTGGTGGTGACTGTTGTTGTTGTGCTTTTTGTTTTATTGTGTCTTTATTATTTATTTTTACTTTCTCCTGGGAGCTCTGGCCTCTCGTAGCCGTTACTAACCCCTCTTTTGTTTATCCCCCACGCTCCTCGCCTCCCGGCAGATCAAAGTGGTGAATGCGTTCCGTAGCTCCTTGTACGAAGGCCTCGAGAAACCCGAATCCAGAAGCTCCATCCATAACTTCATGACTCACCCAGAGTTCATCCTGGAGGAAGATGAGCCTCGAACACCATTCCTTGACAGCGCTGAAGACGACCCCGAGACTGACGGACTCAAAAAGCGAGGTGGGGGTAGCCTGGGTGGATCTACATCCCTCAACAGAAATAACAATGCAGTGGACAGCGATCAAGCTGAGGTCACCGTCCCGGAGCCCGAAAGCCCCTTACACAGCTTGGAGACATCAGTTTGACCTTAGAACTTCGACCCCCCCCTCCTCCTCCACCTTCGCCCCTCGCCCTGTGTGATATTGGCACCAGTAACTGATCACACACTGCGGTCACTTCGTGTCAAACTGCTCATACGTATATCATTTTGGTGGTTTGTTTTTGGGGTTTTTGGTTTTGGGTTGTTGGTTTGTTTTTTTTAACCATTATTTAGCAGTGGGAACCAGAGTACCACGATGCTGGGTGTTGGGAGAGAGGCTAAGCCAAAATTGCGCATCTCCATCCCTAATTTTCAGTGGTACTCGCCCAAGTGAAGCAGCCAGGTTATTTCCTTTCCGAGAATTGGGCTCCATGCATCTGTAGGGGGTTTTCACTTTGGAAAATGCATGTTCAAAGAAAGTTCAAATTATTGTAGTCTTACATGCACGCTCTCAGCCTGAGGGCTGGGCTGCACTTGTGACTTTATCTTTTTTTTCCACTCTTGGTTTTTAGGGTTTTCTTCTAACGTTGGGGTTTGTTCTTTGCTTGTGGGATTTGCCCCCCCTGTAACTTCACAGTGGGAAGTGGGGGGGAGTTAGCACTCTAGTGCGAAAATTTAAAAATAAACAAAAAAACCCCAGCCCAGGAGGAATGTGTTTACTCGCAGGTTGATAGATACAGGGATGTACACCAGTCTTCCACCTTGAAAAATGGTACCTAGCCTTTACAGTTCCTCCTCTGTGTGTGCACGCACACTTTTCTCTCTCTGTTTCCAAAGCAGTAATTGGTAGACAAGGAACAACGGTGACTTGGCTGTAACCTTGCTGGATGTAAAAGATTCCGAATTTTTTTTTTTATTTTTATTTTTTCTACAAAGCAAGGTGGAGGTGAACTGGCAGTGGAAGGGTGGTGAAAAAAACCCCATGGCTGTGAGAAACCAGGGCTCCTTCCTGGGGAGTCTTAAGAGATGCAACTCTTCTGCTCTTGAACTGCTGTGAAACTTTTGGTGAGAGCCTTGCAAAGGTTTAACGGCTCCTGCCATCAAGAGCAGAGGGACTTTTGCCCATTCTGGCTTGTATGTACTGTTGGGTTAAATAATCCTTCAGCCTTGGAGTACAAGCTTTGGTTAACTGCTGAGGAACCCCAGAGGATGCTCCAGCCGTGCCCACCAGCTCTGCGCATCGCTGCCAAAGCGTTGGCATGCTGAACGGAGAACAAGCATCAGGTCATTGCCAGTACAGTGGCTCAATTCCTAAATCATGGAAGGGATGAGTCAGGTTGTCTCTTTTAGCCGGTGGGAGGGAGGCTACATGGCTGATGGGAGGACCCTTGACTTCCATAGCACTTCTGTAGCTGATTTGCCAGTGGAGGCAATTCCTCACAGAGGTGGCAGGTTGGTTGCTTGGTTGGCTACAGGTTCCAGAGAAGGTGCTGCATGGAGGCTTTGCCTCATTCGCTGCTTTTTTTGAAGGTCATCTCTTCACCTTGTGTGTCCTGCCTCACCTCGGTCTCTTCTAACGTTTGGTGAGAGTCCTGGGTTTTTTGGGGCAGAGGCCCTGGGTGTCCTGGGTAAGTTGGCTCTCAACTGACCCTCTTGTGAAGCCATGGGACTGAGCAGGAGGCAGAAATTTGCTTTGCTTGGGCTTAGTTTCTTCCCCGTGGGCTCTTGCTGGTGCACCCCTGGTTACTGGCCCCAGGCAGGCAGGGCTGGAGGAAGCTCTGCTGCCTGCTTTTCTTTGCCCTGTTTGGCTTGGTTGGAAGCAGAGAGAACCTGGTTGTAACTGGCTGTACAACATCATCGTCTTTGCCCAGCCTCCATCCCTGGAAGCAGAGAGGTTTTAGTGAGAGGGTGGGCTGGCTGGTTTCTTCTTTTCTTTCCTTTAAGAACGCACAGCAGAATCTCCCGTGCCTTCTCCGAGCACTGCCTGCAGCACCGCCTGCCACGTGAGGGCCCAGTACTTTGCCAAGAAATAAGTGTTCCTTAAACGACAACACAAACCAAGTGTCTTTGTTTTGTTTCCAGCCCAGCACCGACTTGTCCCTTCCTTGGGGTGGGAGGAGGGAAGGACAAGGTCGCCCCATTCCTGCCCCAGGTAGCTGAGGAAAGGTCCTTCTGCCAGGTCTCCTGCCTCGGTGCTGGCAAAGGGGGTGAAGGCTGGGCTCCATACACTGCCAACAGCAAGAAGAAATTGCCACCACTGCCCATCTCAATTGCAAATTCAGTGTCAAGCCCCCTGCCCGCACAGACAAACCCATCGCTGCCCTCCCTGTTCCTTCCTCACACAAGCTGAAAAAATGCCTTGGGCAGGACCGAGGGGTGGGGGGTGTTTTCTTGGGTTATACACAAGTGGTGACAGGAAAGACAAAAGGGGTGGTTGTGGGGTTTGGTTCTGTACTAAAGGTGACATTGCTTAAAAGATCACTTTTTCTATTTTAAATACTTGCAAAAAAAAAAAAAAAAAGGTGAAAATATGGTGTTCTTACAAGCTTACATAAATATTTATTAAATACTTTGGGGGGGATACACTGATTTTTCTTTTTTCTTTTGATATTTTTTTTATTACCTCAGACCTGTTTTAAAAAATGAAAAAAAAAAAAAAAGACTTAAACCAACGAAAAGCCAACTTTGGAGGCTCTCAAAGTCACTCCCAGAAATCTGTGACTGGCAGGTTGCCACAAGGGTCTGGTTGTTCTTTAGTTGATCTATTTTTGTTGTTCTAGTTTCCATATTAGGAGGGGGAGAAATAATTATATATAAATATTATGCAAAAAAATATAGTTTTCTTTAGATCAGAAACTGATATTTTTACGTCAGCCATATGTATTTTGTTTAAAGAAAAAAAAATAAATAAATCTTGAGTCCCGCGTCTGCAACGGCGCGTGACTGTGTGACGGCAGTTCAAAGTGACAGGTAATTAATTCAGTGTATCAGCCATCGGATGCCAGTCAGCTTCCTTTTCTCTGAGCAGCCATCTTTCTACTAGACGTTAGTTGGATGACACAAATGGGTTTGGTTTTGGTTTTTTTTTTTTTATAAAAATGATGTTGGTATGGCTGGTTGCTTGAAGTATAAATGTTTATTGTGCATACATCTTTTCTGTAAAGTTTTTTTTTTTTTTTTTTCCTGTTTAGTTTCAGTGATATACTGGCAGCAGCTGACTATTGGGTTAAGTTATTGAGGACATTACAAAAGAGTTGGGGGGAGGTTGGTGCTCTATGCTGAAAGGCATGGTCGGCGGCACGAACTTCTGGGGACTCTCTGCCACATGCCTTGAAAGAGGGGGAGATAATTTGGGGGGTTATTATTTTTATTTTTATTTTTGCTTTGTTTGAACTGCCACGAGTGTGCACGGGGGAGAGTGCCATGCCAGACAGGAACCGAAGTCATACCCTGTGATACGTGTTAACTTGCCTTGGAATGCTTTGTTATTAAAACACTCTGAACATAATTTTGCATCCAGTTCTTAATAACAGTAGGGTCTCTGGTGGTGGTGGTTTTCTGTTAAATAAATTGGCGGATTGGTACCAAAGACATTACACCACGTCCTGTGTGCATTGCTGACCAGGCATTTTTAGGCATTTGCATTATGTGATAAGGTTTCCTTTGATTTGCACAGGGATTATACTTAATTTTCAAAGGTTTTGTGCAATAAGCTTTGAGGAAAATTTTGAAACAATCTCAAGAAGGAAAAAAACTAAACCAAATTTTAGCATGGGCAGCCTTTGGCTTTCCCCAGCTGAGGAGTAGATGTCCTGTAGTGCTCAGCCCCTTCAGAAATGCTTCTCGGGGTGACATGATGTTGGGGTGAATGGGAAAGCCCCATCCCAGATCCAGGGAGGGCATCTCCAAGATGCCATTGCCAACTCCTGTTGCCCTCCATGACTGCAGGGACCAAGCACCTCAAGGAAGAGTCCCTGCAGGCTTTTGTACCTCTCGGGGAAAGGACACGTGTACCTGCCTGTCATCGCTCCTCACCGCTGGGTCCAGCTCCTACAAGTTCATCAGCCCGTGGAGCATGCAACCTGTAAAACGCCCTCCTGTAAACCCAGCTCTCCCCGGCGGGGCACGGCAACGTGGGGGTACTGCTCTTCTGGTCCTGTCCCAAACAGCGAGGCGGTGGGGCAATGCCAGCGTGTTTCTTGGCACCTGGTTGTTCCTCTCCAGCATCTCTCTGCCAAGGCTGTCCCCTGCCACCGAGACTGGCTGATGTCTGCCTGTCCTGCCTCTGATACCCTCTTGCTCAACAAAAAATACAATTTTCATTCAGCAAAGCCCATGGCTAAAACTGCCTTTAGTTTATTTCCTCCCCTTAAATAAATATATATATATACAGTATTAAACCAACATTTGTGTGTGTATATATATTTATCCAATGCTCTCACAACAAAACTTTCTTTTGAAGAGGGCACGCAGATCTGAGTTTTTCTTTTCCAGTAACTAAGTATAATAAGCACTGGTATTTTTGTATAAAAACAGAAAAAATACAAAACAAAAGACTGAATATTATGTGGTATGCATGACATTAAAAAAAAAATGGTGGTTTCAAAGCAATATGTACCCTGGTGTGTTTGCCATATCCTAGAGTCCAGCTTAAAAGTGCACCTGATCTGTATTGCATTTTGATATAATCTCTATGTACAATGTTTTGCATGTAATTTATATGGTTCTTGGGAGAAAAAAATTTGAATGAATTGTCTTCTTCTGAGAAAACAGACTCCAAGTAGAGCTAATACTCGAAGTGAAAGCGGATGAGTGGTTGAGGGGTGGGAAAGGGGGGTACATAGCAAAAAAATAAAGCGTGCTGAGGGTGGGGGAGAAGGGTAACGGTTTTGAATCAATAAAGCTTTGGCTGTTGAGCAGAAACAATGCGCAAGTGCATCCAGAGAATAAAATGTGCCCACATGTAACTGTGACGTCCTCAGTGTGTCCACCAGCTTGTGAAATCAATCCCGCATCCTCTCCTAGCGCTGGATGAACGGCTGGGCTTCCCATCAGAGCAAGCCGGAGCGTGAAAGTGGGGCCTGCGGGGTGGAAAGAGGGATGGGGATCCAAGGCAACCCCAACACTACAAAAACACCCCTTGTTAGCATGGGTTTTCACTCTGTGTAAGCCTCCCTATTGGGAGGCAGGGGCTGGCTGGCTGCACCCAGCGCTTTGTCACAAGCACGGCTTCTTCCATCTCCAATCAAAGCCCAGAACTGGATGTCAAATGCCGTCCAAACCAGTGCTCCTGGAGTACGTGTCCAGCTGCCCTTGAGAAAAGATCGTGCCTTGTCCCCTTCCCTGATGCTGTGCCTCGAAGGTGGTGCATGGTGGAGGTTGGGATCTCCATTTCCCAGGGACTGGCTTTGAGCTGTGTCCTGCCTCTGTACGGAGACTGTTTTGCCTCCCTAGAGGCACTTTTCTCAGACAAGGACAGTGGGAAATAAAACCAACTGGCCTCTGGAATATTCTCATTCCCAAGCAGGTTGATTGCACTGGAGCCGTTTAATTCCCTGGCTTTGGTGGAGAGGCTGTGGCTTCTCTGTGTATTTAGTAACTCCAGGGCCAAGCCATGATGAGAAGATCAAGCTGCCTGAGGCTGTCTGTAAGGAAATTCAACCTAAAACTTCTCAGCTGAGTGTCTGACCCTTGGAGCCGACGCCAACTGATATGAACAGGGCGTAAAAGCTTTACTGGGCAGCGTCACCCTCCTTCCTGCTTTCCTGGGGAGGTGTGTGTGCTGACAGCATCTGCCAGCTCTTAATTAAACAGAACAGCCACAACTGCTTCTTTTTTTAAAACTAGTCCAGGCTGGATGCAAAGAAAGAAACAAATCACAGGGCTTTTAGTCATTTAGTGGGGAAAATGGCTGTGCCCGGGCAGCAGTGGGGCTGGCCCCAGGCACCCTCTCCTCAAGGGTGGACGCTGCTCCTGCTGCCGAGGTGGCCGTTTACCAGTGCCACAGGGCCAAACCGGGGAAAGCGGGACACTGGCACACTGGGAAGGCGAGGAGAAAAGCGCAGGGAGGCAGGGTTAGGTCTGTGATCTGCCATGAAGTCTCAGCAGGCCCACGCTGCGCTGGCAAGAGACATGGCTGCTCCCCAGAACACCCCAGCCAGGCCCAGGCCTCCCTCCTAGGGCACTGCACAGTCTGAGGCCCCAGGGCAAGCACCTGCCGGCTCGGGAATCCGGATTGAAAATGTAAAATAGCTTCAGGCTTGGCAAGCGGAACCCTGAGGCAGCGTGAGGGAAGGGCAGGCCACCGCCGGGGCTGAGGCCTGGCACCGCGGCAGGCAGGGACGCGCACCCTGACAGGAAAGTGGGCGCGGGGCACCGGAGCCGGGGCGGAGGTGGAGGGGAAGGGGACGGTCTACTGCTCGCCCCGCAGTGAAGGGCTTCGGCTGGGGGGGGGGG